GAAAAAACTTCTACACATTTTAATGCAAAGTTACGGTTTATTTGCTGAATTTAACACATTGGGGAAAAAAAAACATAAAATGTGGCCTGTGCAAAAGTTGTGGCACATTCTGTATTGAATGTTACCTATATGCTATAAATTGTGTTAGAAAACAAGACCTCATATCTCCAAAATGAGAACTTTATAGAAGAAGGAAAAACATACTGTAAGTTTAATGTAAGTCAGTGGAACCAGAGTGTGTGTGTGTGTGTGTGTGTGTGTGTGTGTGTGTGTGTGTATATATATATACACACACACACACACACACATACACGCTCCAAAATTGCTTGAAATAAAATGTTTGTGCATTAACTTTCATTAGAAGTAAAGAACGTTTTGCCTTCTCCTGTAAAGTTACCATTTTGGAGATACTCATATTTATTTGGGGTTTATATACATTTATATATGCATATATATATACACAGTGATTATATACATAGCACACATGGGACATGTACAGCCCCACACCCTGACACTGTATAAAAACAAACCTGTGTGTGTGAAGGAGACACACAGACGGGGTCCTGAGAAAGTGTGTGTGAGAATTCTAATGAGTTGACACACATCTGAGGTCTCTGCTGAGAGAGCAGCGCGTACTGTAGCTCAGGTAGAGATGTGCAGTTTCTGTACGTGCGACACGTACAATATGTTTTTGCATGAGAGGAAGCGTGTTTGTGTGTGTTAATGCTGCTAAATCCGTGTGTATGTGTGTGTGTGTGAAGTCGTGTCCCTGTGCGGTTTGGGCTTCTGCATTTCCCGTTTATGATCAGTCGACTTTTGAATAAATCTGAGTATGATTTATTTATGCTGCCGCTTTAACACATCTCTCCATGCCTCATTAGCGTATCTTAAAGTCTGTGGAATAACATTAAGTAATCCAGCTCATTACTGCTCTGTGCTAAAAACAAACCAACTGCACATTAATTCCATACGCCCTCATTTTCATAAATTTACTCACTAACGCATTTGTGTGTTTACTCTGTAGATTAGAGCTACACCGCCAGTGTCCCTTTGAAAGATTAAGAGATGAATTATGATTAGCTTGTTGAATTGGAGATGTCTGTGTCTGGATACGATGTGCGTTTTTAGAAAGAAAGAAAGAAAGAAAGAGAAAATGCTGAGGCCTTTTAAAAACTAGCAGGGTGAAAATATTTATCAAATAAATTGTAAGTGCATCGATGTTCTACATGCAAATTTAAAATGTAGGTGAGGTTTAGTCCCAGAAATACACCGATCAGGCGTAACATTATGACCACCTCCTTGTTTCTACGCTCATTGTCCATTTTATCAGCTCCACTTACTATATAGGTGCACTTTGTAGTTCTACAGTTACAGACTGTAGTCCATCTGTTTCTCTGATACTTTGTTAGCCCCCTTTTACCCTGTTCTTCAGTGGTCAGGACCCCCATGGACCCTCACAGAGCAGGTGCTATTTGGGTGGTGGATCATTCTCAGCACTGCAGTAACACTGACGTGGTGTTGGTGTGTTAGTGTGTGTTGTGCTGGTGCGAGTGGATCAGACACAGCAGTGTTGCTGGAGTTTTTAAACACAGTGTCCACTCAACGTCCTCTCTATTAGACACTCCTACCTTGTCAGTCCACCTTGTAGATGTAAAGTCAGAGATGATAGCTCATCTGTTGCTGCACAGTTTGTGTTGGTCATCCTCTAGTCTTTCATCAGTGGTCACACTGCCCACAGGACGCTGTTGGCTAGATATTTTTGGTTGGTGGACAGTTCTCAGTCCAGTGAGCTATCGTCTCTGACTTTACATCTACAAGGTGGACTGACAAGGTAGGAGTGTCTAATAGAGTGGACGTTGAGTGGACACTGTGTTTAAAAACTCCACTGCTCTGTCTGATCCACTCAGACCAGCGCAACACACACTAACACACCACCACCACGTCAGTGTTACTGCAGTGCTGAGAATGATCCACCACCCAAATAGTACCTGCTCTGTGAGGGTCCATGGAGGTCCTGACCACTGAATGCTATATTGGGTTTTAACAGGCACAGCCTTAGACTGTATGAACTGTACAGTTATTGGTGTTTTTTGTATCTTTAGTATATAAATGTACTTCTAATTTGCAGACTGTAAAAACAAATTTTGTCAGTTGAACTGAATTTTTGTTGAATTGTCATTGAAATTTAGCTCATCGATCTTTTCATGTGATCTTCTGAATGAGCTGTCAGTATTGCAGTGTGTTCCACCAATAGAAGTGCTTCTCTAAGACTTATTTACATTCAAATCCTGATGAACACAGGCAGGTAGAGAGGTTACTCAGAGATCGGGGTTGTTAAATGAATAGCTCTGCAAAAATCTCATTGATGTTTTTCCCCTTAACTTGAATAGAATAGAAAAGAATAGAAATAAACTTTATTATCCATTTTATTTATTGCACAGTATCAATAAAATACGAGAAAACTGATAAATTATGTCACAATACAGTACAATATGCTTTT